TTGTCTTCCTAGTTTTTGGTACTGACGAACAGAACATATTGTTCCTCACAGTGTTTATCCAATTAATGTAACACAATTGTAGCTGAGTGGATATTATATGTTAGTGATGATAATTGCTTTTGCTATCATGGTGTTGCTAAATACCCACCTTGTTCAAAAGGCTAATATATATTAAAAAATGGTAAAGCTCCCTACTGCCAACCATTTTATCTAGAGAGGGGTTTTAGTTCAGGTTTTGTACCTATATCTGCACATGGTTCAAAAATTAGAAGGTCTGTTGCAAATAGCCCCTTTGTTACTTCTATGTGTGACATAAACACAATCAAATGAATTAATGTTTAGAAAACTATACACTAACTTAAATCACTAATTTTCCTGATGCCTACTACTTATTTTCATTATATGTAATTGCCACATTTGATGTTTTAAAATGTAACAGGATAACATGATTAAGCATATTTCCCAATTGTTAGAATTGAATTTATCTTTTCCGGTATGTCAAATGACAAAAGAAATTACATTATTAAAAATGCTATATGATGTTGAAGCAAGAAAAATTAAATTTGTGTGTATATATGTATTGAAAATTACATTTGAATACTCATGTTTGTATATGTAATAAGGGGATGAAGATTTGTGTGCAATACATTTTACACTTTTTACAGTTTTCTATGGATCAGCCATGATATGCCTTTGTAAATAACTTTTACTATAGCTTGATCAAAATGGTTCTAAGATATACATTAAAGGTAAAAGGATCGATCACAAACATTATTCTCTTCCCTTTGGATCGGCAATCCGCAATAATGATATCCGTTAAATAGCTCAGTATGAAATCATTATTACGAATTTTTGCAATATATATGTATATTAAAAATTCACCGTTGCATGTGATTTTCAAGCATCTCTATGTTTCAAACTCTAAAATATAGATCTTATGGCTGTGTATACTAGTCTATAAAACTTTTTGGTTAATACTTAACACACAAAAGTGTGTCTTCTAATATAATTGTTTCTAACAATTATCAACTAGTAATTATTTTAAGTTGAACATTTTAAACTAAATTGATAATAAATTACTTGTATTTATTATATTAATTTCTTTACTTAACAAACTCTCCTCCATTACACTATTTATCTGTACTAATGTTTTGTTTCATTCATATTTTTAAATATATTTTATAAATATTTTTTTAAAGTAGAATGTTTAGCTTTGAATAATCTAATGAAAATGTGTCATACTATCAGTACAAACTAGAACAAACCTCATCACACAATGCGATGAATATAAATTGGTAGCAGCTGTGATGCTAAAAGGAAACAAAGTTAATTTGGCAACAGAAAATTAGTTCCATCACATTTTGAAATTAGCATTGACAATGTTACTGGGATTACGATACCCATTTTCTTGATTTTATTCTTAGCAATATTTAGATGAACTGAATTGTCTTAATAATGTTCTTTTAATATTGAGAGAGAACTAAGTTGTGATTGTTCATACTGTATTTTTAAAAATATTTTGTTTATAATTCCCTTATTTGGAAAAGAATTAATCATAAAATGCCTGTAACTCCGCCTTAATTTTTAGTAGTAGTATTTTTTCTTTCTATAAATATTTTAGAACATTAAATATACCAGCAAGTCCTGTGCCAAAAGCTTGTGCTCAATAAATGCTCGTGTAAATTTAGGTTACATACTAAATGATACATAAAAAAAAAGTTGAGAACTACCACTTAGTTTGCATTTTACATAACACAGAAGATGTAATATCTAAATCTATACATGTTCAAAGAAAATTGAGGGAAACATTTGTATGTATAATGATATTTGATTATTAAAGTATCTAAGTTGACTAATTATTATGACCAAGAGCAGTATTAAAAGGCACACACACAAAAACATCTTTCTCATAAATATCCTCTTAGAGTACAGTAACATTAATAAAACTGATTCACTATCTTTATTTTTTATATTAAAAGATTTAAAATCTGATATCCTCACCTTTTAAAACAAGCTGATTGTCCAGAAAATTATTTAACGAATAATATAAAAATATATCCACTGCCTTAACTTTGATAGCATTACTTTTTGACTGCATAGAAGTTGCATAAGACAGTTCTCCTCCCCTAAATTATTGCTATTAAATATATATCAGTCTAGTAATTTTAAATAACTATAAAATGATAATCATTGCATAGAATTACTAAATAACAGAAATTCAGCATAGTATAATATACTCACCAATCGCGAGTATGCTCAGAATATCTTTGAACATAAAGGTGGAAAGAATATTCTGTAGGCCTAATTATCAGAATGCTTAACTCACAAAATGAAAATAATGTCAGTACTCTAATGCCATCTAGTGGAGTATTTAGAAGCCTATCCATTGATTCGCTAATTAATAATTGCATTGAAATTATTCCCGCATAGTAAAAAAAATAAAACAAGTTTTTACTTACCCCTGTAAGTTCACCCAAAAGGAGATAATTAGGCTACTTAGCATGAAAATCTAAAATACATTTGTCTTATACAATTAAAATTGATTGAAGTTATGAATAAAATTATAAATGTAAGAGGGATTTTATCTGTATTTATAAATTTACTTATTACAAGCTATTACAAGACTGTGTTAGAAAGTTCAACCATCTCATGTGTACCCTTTGAATTTGACACCTTTTTTAACCATAGTAATATCCCTGACCAACAAATATCGCAGCCACAGTGCAGATGAGTGCTCGTCGTGTTCCAAGCTCTGGCTACTGAGTATTAAGTCAAAGAATGTTTCTACTACTGGTAGTCATAGTATATTAGCTAGAAGCTGCTGTCTCGGCCAGTTTAAATCTAATTTGGAGATCCATCACTATTATGTTTCATATTCGGTATTAAAAACAAAGCAATCAAGATCTTTCGCGATTGATGAAATTTCTACTTATATGGGGCATTGGTAGTCCAAACCTTATGATTCGGTTACAAGATTTATCTCATCAATATTCTACCCCTTCTTGTACGAAGTTAATATAACTCGTCAGTTAATGTGTATGTAAATATTATTCGGAACTCTCCATATAATGAACCTCTATATTGTGAAATTTTCTATATAGCTTAACTTTTTTCTAACCAAGAACATTTCACGATTTTCCTCAAAATAACCTCCCAATAGCGAAATTCTGCTTCTATATAACCAACTTTTTCCTCTTTTGTGGTTAAATTCTTCTTCCATATTTTTAGAAGTATTTCTGACATTTCGAAGTTATTCTCTTTTAAAGCACATTTTATGGTGGTCATGAATCTTCACTAGTTTTATTAAGTGCCTAACCTGTAATTTATATAATAGAATTCTGACATTACTCCAAGGAGCAACTTTTAACCTATTGTCCTTTTCACACTCGAAACATTCTCGATATCCCCTTTCTCACCCTCAGTGGAGTCTCGTGTTTTTGAACCAGTCACCGTCACTTGTAGTATTGGATCAGTCGCATTCGGTAACTTCGTTTCTTGTTAAGCTTGAAAAACGTCAAAACGTAAGTGTAGTTTCATCAAAGAAAAAATTGGAATTTTTCAGAAATGGATAAAGGCGCGTCAAGAAACTTTTCTTGCAGTTTTTCTTTCTTTTTAGGGTGGGGAGGGGTAAGATATATAAACTAAATATATATTATTTTACGTGCTGTGAATAATTACTTTATATGAATTTGAAATTTGTTTTATGGTTTATAAAAGAAAAATTGAAAGATGAGCCTCTGTATAAATCGAATTTTCCACATAACGAACTTTTGTCGGGATTTTAGCGACTGTATTTTAGTTATGTCCAAATCAGAAAGGAATCAGCAAGAATCACAATTTAAAAATTGTTAAAACACTTGCACAGAAAAGGTTTTAAAAATGCCTATCTGCATATCAGAGACAAGTGTAGAGGTCCGTAATCTTACCCCCTTATGTCTTATTTAGTGGCAAGTCTTAGGTTCTCGAAATCTGATGTCATCACACATTGTAGATGTGCTGATGTTTGTCCAGTCTCTTGTCTTCACGTTGGCGGGGTGTGGAAGTGTGAATTGTAATGTCTCATCTTAGATGTCTTGACCGAGGTTCAGAATTATGAAGTTCGTCCCAAAGAGCCCTAGCATAGAATGTGAGTGTAAAGTTAGTATGCAATCATTTTATACCCTTCTTTGTGCATTTATGTAATTTTGTCTAAATCACATGTACATTTATTTCCTAAATTTTCAAGTTTTCGGGGAAACTTATCCAAATATATGGTTAATACGAGCAATCAATCTTTTCTCTTACTAAGTCATCTTTAGGTTTATTTTTTCTAATTTTTCTTTTCTGAAGTACATTTAAAATGTAACAAAATAAGATCTATCAAAAGCTAATATTTTGAAAAATCTTGATTTATGTAATTGTATGATACAAACACATGCTGCTTTTTAAGAGTATGATTATTGAAGAAAGAAAAATTGTTATAATAAAATGCGATGACCTCCTCTCCATCATTTTGTGTAAGAATGCATATCAAAGTATTAATAAACGTCTGCTATTTATTGATAAAACACACTTTTTAAATACAAACAAGTAATTAACATATTCTCAATTTCGTGTTTTTAAAGGACTTAATTGAAATTACACAATATAGAATTCTTAATGTAACTCATTTAAATCATCTGCTTAGAAATTTTCTGGAAGAAATAAATCATCTTAAGTAAATAAAAATTCTAACATAATAACAAGTAATGTAAAAATTGTCGATTCCTACTTAAGTGTCAACAAAGAAAAATTTTATTTTAGTTACTTTTTATTAACTAATTACAATTAATATAAATATGTATATACGTATGGCACAGAATCACAATATTAAGTTGCAAAATAGAGAAAGTGATTTTCCTTTCTATATATGGTATTGGACTATTATTATTTTTGTTTGTGTTACTATTTATTCATTCATTAAGTTTAATTATTCTAATAAAATAGTATAGTAATAAGAAATCATTCTCGGTACTCAGGGTCATCCCAGGTGGAATTCGAACCCACGACTTTGGATTAGAAGTCCAACGCGCCATCCATTGCGTTGCTATGAACACAACGAGCGATTTTCATTTTATATATGATGTTGACTATCTTTGTTTATTACTATTTATCTGAATAATTAAACAAATTTAATTTTTTTTGAAAACTGTATTACCAGATCAAGTGTCGTCTACTACAAGTTTTAAAAATGTATTTTTGAACTTGAGTGGATGAATAAAAAGTATTTTATTAACAATTGAAAATTTGAACAAGATATATATATAGGAAGAGTGTGAATTAATAGTAGGAATTGAATAATGGCACAAAATGAATTAGACTAATATAAATCAACTGCTTTAATTGGTATGCATTTTATTTTTCCATCTTCCATTCCATTGCAGTTTATCTGCAACAAAAGTACTAGACATTAATCGGAAAATAAATCTCTTGGCAAATGATAAATCTAGTTAAAAAGAAGGAAAGTTTTTTCCCTTTTGAAAGTTAAACAATATTTGTGAATCGATTCCGACAAGAATATTGACCTCTTAGGGGGAAAAGAGACATTTTCCCCAGACAGAAACTTTAATCATGATGAATCGTTTTCCCTAAATTGATGTGGGTCGAATGTCTTGCATTCTCTCTTTCTATTGAATTTTTTTTATTGTTTCATGCCGCTTTATGTTACCCTTTTTCATTTATGAAAAAGTGTTCTATTTCATTTTGGAAAGAATAGAAAAATATTACCTGACTAAAAGGCGGAAAGCTTAACTTCAAAATGAATTGTAGCTGTTGCAATGCCATTTCAGAACAGAATTTTTCTGTGTGATGCCATTAAAAAGACTATAAATTACCATATATAGAAACGGCATCGTTAAAAGCATATTTATTGATAAAATTGTTTCTACATTAGTTAAAAAAAAAAAGAAGGTGGGAAATTTCGCTGTTTTATTGCATGTTTGTTATTTCAGCAAAAGATAAAGAACTTTCTAGTCACATGTATCATCTGTTCACAATTTAATGCTTTGCTTAGTAGTGGCTAACAGTCACCAAACTGTAATTTTTAACACGCCTTTATAAGTTTCACTTGTATGTTTTTATGTACTCCCAAAGAAGAATCTGGCTGTGAGAGGTTTGGGCACTATATTTTCGGGACACCCTGTATGTATACATATAATTGGTGTTTAAGAAACCAATAAAACTGCGACAGAAAAAAAGCACACACAGCGTAAAACACACTTTTAAAATCTTTTGGAATGAAATATAGATAAAGAGATTAAATAAATGTTTAAATGTATGAAAATACAAATTTGTACATTTTTCTATGACATGTAAGTAAGCTGTGATTGCCTCGATTGGGGTGAACCTCACCCATCTATTCATGCGAGGTTTATGGCTCCAAACAGTCGTTAGGGGTGACAAGAGCACGTAATATGGGGTCATTGTTTATTGTCTGACCTCGACAAAATGCAGACATCGAGCGCCCGGAAGCTGCAATATCTAAAGAGAGCCGGTGACAGGGTTGACATATAGGCGAAGCCTGGGCGAAAGCCGGTGCCGAGAGAATGGGGTTATAAAACCCAATGGTGTGATGAATAAGAGTGTTCAGAAGTTAGATGAGAATAATGGCGGCCCTTAGATTCCTGGTATCGGCATTCAGGAATGTGTTTGTGTTTGCTCTCACAAGTAGGGAGACGAATGTGGCCCGGGACGAGGGCAGACCTTTTTGCCGGCCAATGAGAAGACGAGGGGGCGTGTTGTGGACCGCCCTGGTGTTTAAAAGGGGTTGATTTGAGGAGATATCGAGCTCCTGGAGTGAGACAGATAGAGCCCTGGATGGAAACAGAGAGATAGAGCCTTGGGAGGAGACGGAGAGGGAGCCCTGAAGTGAGACAGAGAGCCCTAGAGGGAAAAACTTGGATAGAGCCCTGAATGGAAAACTTGATGTAGAACCCTGGATGGAGAAAACTGGAGAGGAGCCCTGAAAAGAAAAAGGGATTAGCGAGTGCCTTTCGAAAAAAGGATTGAAGCCAAATAAATACAAATGAAGCACCTATGAAGCAAATAAATATATTAGTTCTTTAATTTTAAAATGAGGCTGCATTCTTCTTGTTTGCCAAATTAACACTACGACGTTACAGTGTGATTGTATCTTTTCTCAAATACGCTTTTATAAGTTTCAATTGTATGTAATGGAATCTTTGAACTCGATAAAAATATTAATTCCTAAGTTTCAATTCATTAAAGTATAAATAAATAAATACTGCATATATATATATCAAAGGATCTCTCTTTCCTCGTGAAGTTAAATTTAAAACTAATAAATTTATGCTCTCACATGATTTTAAACAAATGGTTGTAAAAATTTATAGAAAAATTTCATAATAGTTTACCTTGATATAAATAAAGCCGTGCTTTTATACCTTATCATAATTTCTAAAATATTTCTTCCTTTTATACTGCCATAATTTTTAATAAGCATTTTCAGAACAATAAATACTTTTGTAAATCTGAACTATGTTACAGAGAAATCAGCAATTGTAAATATATATATGTGTGTGTGTGTGTGAGAGAGAGAGAGTACACCTCTGCATCCTTTTTATTAACTCTTGTACTCAATTTTAAACAAACTTTTTTTCTTCTCGATTTAAGAAATAACACTGTAATCTTACCACCCAATCGGCTAGTCCGAAATCCCCTGTCCTCTTACTTCCTATCCAATCAGAACTACTATTACGTAAAAATCACGTGCTTGCTGGTATAAAAGCAAAAATCGTGTAATCGCTATTTTGGTTCGCTTGCTGTCATCATGTAAGAATGTAAATAATTGCAGCTCTTTGTGCTTGTGTTGTGTCCGTCAAGAGGTCGCTTCTGTTATATGTGTCTACTTACGTGTTTTTAACAAATAGATGTAAAATATAAAGTGATTGACTAAGTTATGTGTGTTTCCAAAAAATAAAGACATTGAAACTCACCTCACATTTTTCAGTAAAACCAGAAGCTATGTCAACAAACCAACACCGGCCAACGCTACTACAATCCTTAAGATATATATATATATAACATTTTTTAGAATTCGGAGAAATATTAGAAAATGAATATTGCTTATTACAATGCTGCGTACTGGAATTCCGAACAGAAAACGCAAGTATGAAATGTTTCAATTTCCAACAATCCTTTTTTTTTTTCTGAGTAAAAATTAAAACTTTATAAAATAACGCGTGAGACAGTAATTAAGTAAGATAGCTCATGGGCTCTTGTAAGGCACTCAATATTTGAGCAACTCTGAAACGTGATCGTAGTTGCAATAGTCGGATATATATTTGGAGTACGTGTATCAATAGGATAATGATCTATTACGATATTATAGAGAAGCTTTTAGCCACCAGATTCATATTCATATGACTCTAAGTCAGGAAGGATAGTAGTTGCTACGACTGGATGAAACGTTTGGTAGGTTTTAACTAATGAGATGTTTTGAATAATATATGCTGTGCAGTTCATATCTTTGATTTCAGAGTATTTCTCATAGAAGCGTTTTATTTATTATTTCATTAAAATGTGAATATATATACTAATTACAACCTTTTAAGGAATAATTGAAACATTCACTAATAAAATGGAAAAGGAAGTTTAATATACGAGAAATATGCAAAATTGCATTCAAACATAGCAATGCAAACGTCCATCTGGAAGTGGTGCGCACTCACGCACACATACATTTATACCCATATGCATGTGTATACATATACTGTGTGGACTGAAATATTATTTCCTTCTTGTTATATCCTTATACACTAGAAAAGTTGCATTTCGCTTACTGAATAAAGAGACAAATTTTTCAAAAGAAAAAAAATTTCCCATACGCAGAATATTTCATGTTTTTAAAGATGGAAATATTTCGCTATTTTTGTCTATTGTTGGCCGTTATTTAAATTTTTGATGTTGTAACATTTTTGTTCTAATGTTATTTTATTTTGTACTAATGTTATTTATTTCAAATTGGCAATAAGAAAAGTAAAGCGTACAATCTAAAAGCAAAAATAGCTTACATTTCCCTACCAAAAACTCCATAAACGCACATGTTGAAAAAGTAAGCAACATTTCATGTAATCTTTTCACATTTAATAAACTGGAAGCATGCTTTCCACTTCCAATTTTTATTGAAAAAGTGGTATTTGTGGTTAGATTCCTTAGAAAATTCATATGTAACATGAGGGCAGAAGGCCAAAGTATAACTAGAAGTTCACGTGTTTGACGCTCTGCTTTTCTTTTACGTGATTAGTTCGATGGAATGTAATATACTCAAATTGCTGTGGAAACGAAAATATCCCTCGCTGTTAACTGAATTATTTTGACATTCGGTTAATCTCTAGCACAGATTGTATTGTAATAAGTAATTTCTGGATAAATCTCTACCTTTGTTTTCATAAGAATTTTTAATATTGTATGTTAACGTCAAAAAGGAGTGTGGTAGAAGTGTGGCTAAGTATAACAAAACCATTACGGGAAATGATTTTGAATGTCCAATGTTTGATCTCAAGTTAATTTTTGTCAAATAAGTTTTTTTCTTACAAAAAATCTTAGTGTGTTTCTTAGAACGATATGATATATCCTTATGTGGATATATGTAATGTTTTCAGAGTAGCAAACAGTGCCTTAAAAAATTAAATATTTGTTTGAAACCACTTCGATTTTCCGAGAACAGAATAGTGTATATACCTAAATTAATAAGTTCTGTGATAATTATCATACAATAATAAAGTTATACCATCGCAATATACACAAAACTTCGTTACATATAATTAAAAAATTGTGTATGTGCTTATGATCACATGGTAGAAGTGAAAACTTCTGATTTATTATGGCAAAAGTATCCAATTGTTCGGATGTACTATATTTTCTTTTACTACATCTGCGTATGCGGACTTTACGTAGTTCACATTTTCGTGCCCTTTCATCGGAGGATTCATCTTTGGACAATGTTAAACACAAATTCTTTTTGAGTTATTTTTTATATTCCTGCAAAGAAAGTACAGGTTGTGAATGTTTGGATAGTTGGATTTGTAGTAAGC